AAAAAAAAAGAAAGAAATGCAGAGTTCCAGGCACCATACTAGCCATGCTGAACCAGAACAGCATTTTCAACAAAGCCCTCTGGGGATCACTGAATATTTTCCTATTTGACAGCACTGTGTTAGAGAATTTCAATAGGATAAGATCTCAAAAAATAGTCTTGAGATTAATTATCTTATCTTAGATTCTAAGTCATTGAATCTTTGGTCAGGAATCATTGAGGGGAGAGGGAACTTGTGGTGACCAGCGTCAGATCTACCCTGCACTATGTACAAGGCAGTGGTGGAATCTAGGAAAGTGAAAACAAAGATCACAGAAAAAGCAGAAAAACCAAACAGAAACCTGCAAAGTGGAGAGATATCCTACGTAGATACAGAACCCTGGACAACTTGGAGGAGGAAAGACCGGGAAGATATACATTGGATACATTAAGCATTATTTGTTGGATTACAGGTGTTCATGTTTGTGTCAGAAGGCTTTGCTTTTATTTGTCATTCTCTTACCCACATTTTGACCAAGATTAATGAAAAAGAGTTGGGATTTGAAGTCATTTGACTTCCTTTAAGAATAAAATAAAAGGATTAACAGGATCTAAAGACCAGGCTGTTGTGATAATCTCTTAGAATAATGACTCTTTAATTTCCCCTTGATCATCAGTTAGAATGTTCCTCCTAAGAATGATTTTAGGATGCATTCCCAGGAAACAAGTGTTGGTTGGAAATTTTCACTTGATTGGAAGTTAGAATTATCTTCCTAAGAAGGAATGATCTTAGGATACATTCCCAGGAAACACATGTTGCTAGGACTCCAGTAGAAAAACTGGGAATGTTAGAGTTCTGTAAAAAGAGATGGAGCAGGTGAAAATGAGTAGAACACTGTGTTAGTGGGGATTATACACCTGCTCAAAATTATCCAAATCAAGGAGGTGATGGGGAAAATTTGTGAGAACATCATGAGACTTGAAAACTTTCCATTTCACAGCTTTCGCAATAGGAAGTTAAATAGCACAATACACAGAGGAATCAGTGAAACAAAGAGAAAAAAAATCTTGGAACCAAGAAAAAAGAAAACAGAAAGTAAGAAAGACAAGAACATAGAACAAACAGTGTTGGTCCCTTCTGAGAAAGAAGGCAAGTGGCCAATTGAAAACACAGGCGGAAGACTCCTTCCAGCCAAACTCTCCTTAAAGGTCAGACACCAAACAAAGAGAAGGGTTCTGAGGCTCTGGGGTGCCCCTGAAGCAGATAGATGCCCTGTGTGAGTACGGTGGGTGTTTTCACTCAGCTAACGTGGAAATCCTGAGAGTATCATTGTTTGTTCATTTTTACAGGACGATCAAAATACACGTTTAGGGTATCTATCTAATAAATTACTGGGAAAGAAAATAAAAATACATGGAAATTAGAGGAAAAAAAAACAAAAGAAGAGGATCTTTGGCTGATCAATGTCCTTGAAAATAGCCAGTTGTACAGAAATAGGAGGAAACTTGTTTTTTCCTATCAAATTTCTAAAAATTGGGGAACTACTATCACTCTTTCTTGCTTCCTTGGAGAAACTATTGAGTCAATGAATAAATAATATCTTGAAGATCAGCTTCTCATAAAGTTGTTAGGAAAATGGAACAATGAAAGTAATTGTTCATGTGCTTTTATTCCGATGAGGTTATTGGGCATTTACATGGAAGGTCCTCTTAGTACAAAGGATGAAAGAGCCTGCTTCAGGGAAGAAGGAGGTGATTAATGTTTTGTGCTGATATGATCTTCTCCTCAGAGGAATAGGTGACTTGCCTAGGGTCTCTTAGGAAACCTAAAACCTGAAGAAGTTTGGCTGAACTGTCATCCAAAGGAAAACGGATTAGTAGTTATTCTGCAAGATTGTCATGAATGATTGGTGTTTGGAGCCTAAATCTTATTTTAGTTAATTCCTAAAGGGAGTCATATGACCTTCACGTCCTATGTTAGAACATGTTAGAGCTTTTGTTTAATATTGCCCAAAATACCTGTAAGAGAATGGGGATAATAAAATAAAACCAAACAAAACAAAACCTACTCCTGGGAAAGTGACAAGAATACAAAAACAATGGATTTTCAATAAATGTACAAGAGAAATTCAGTAGAAGAGAATAGTCTTTTCAACAAAATTTCCTGAAAATATTGGGTGTCCATATGCAAAAAAGAAAAAGGAACTTCAACCTATACTTTTCCCTATATAGTAAACTCAAAGTGATTCATGGACTATATGTAAAATCTAAAGCTACACAAATTCCAGAAGAAGAAATAGAAGAAAACTCTACGACCTTGGGTTAAGCCATTATTTCTTAGATACGACTCCAAAGCACGACCCTCGAGTGCAAACAATAAATATATAACCTGACCTTTAGCAAAAGGAAGATATTTGGGAATTTGAGGGACACTATTAAGGGAATGGAAAGAGAAGCCACAAACTGGGAGAAAATATTTGCAAATCTTCTATCTGAAATAGGACTTGTATCCAGAATATATAAAGAAATCTCCAAACTCAATAATAAGAAAAAAACAGCCCAATCGATATTGAACAAATGGTTTGCAGAGACACTTAACAAAGAAAATATGCACATGGCAAATAATTGATTGTCATTTAGAAATTGGTTTCCTTTTTTATCTCTAATCTCCGTTGGCTACTGTGTGGACAGTTCAAGAGGATGGCTTGAAAGAACACAGAGATCAATAACACCAGACATAGACAAGGCAGAAATCTCATAAATTTTAGTGAGATTAGGTTGTACACTCACGGCAAAATGAAATTGTAGAGCTAGATTTGGAAGGATTCTTAAGTAGGGCAATAGACAAGAATTTGTTCTTCTGGAAAATATTTCATTAATCTGAAATATAGACTCCTCTGGAGAATGTTTTGATAACTGATTCATGGCCTAGATGCCACATTTTAATATTGTTAAACCACACAGTAACATCTTTAGTTTCAGAAATAATTGCAAACACACCTCCCCAATGTTAAAGAAATCATACGCGAGTTGGGGATACAGATCTTGGACCACACATCCCATTTTATAACCCAGGATAAAAGAGGATAAATATTACCGCCCTTGAAATACCTCAGATGTATTGTGATCTCTCACTTATTCTAAAGGTCAAATTTGCAGATCAATTTAAGCTTCTCTTAAAGATAATCTCATTATTGAAACAACAGGATACCATAAAAGCTCATCGCTGCCAATCAGGATATTATAAGACTTACACGTAAGCAAGGTCTTATGATTAACAACCATTGGTTCATTATGTGTCATGTCAACAGACCACTAGTATAAAAAAGGGCACAAATTCAGATTCTCTCCAACAACTGGCACACTCTCAGCTCCTCCAGAAGAAGGTCGACAAGCACCAACGAAATGAAGATTCTGCTGCTGACTCTTGTGCTTGGTCTGGTCTGTGCTGCCCAGGAACCTCAGTCGGAAACCAATTTCTCACTGGTACTAGGGGTCGGCTGATCTGGGAGGAGGTCTTGGTGGGGTGTGGGTGTGGGTGTGTGTCTGCGTGTGTGTGTGTCCCTTTTGGACTATTTACATATGTATGCAAATTTATGTGCACCTAAGCCTAGCTATCTACCTCAAACTCACAATCACTCTATTAATTGGCTCCTTACACATTTCTAATGTACTAGTCCTATATTGTCTCTGTATTGTCTATATTGTCCATTCATTGGATCCTTATGTGTTTCTACTATACTTGTATAAGACAAGGAGAACCAGCCAGAGAACTGTTGGATTGGAGTTCTGCATTTGATAACAGAACAGAAGCTATTTCAGAAATATATCCTTTTCTTGTTTTACCATTGACTTGGGTTTTCACATTATTTTATAAATCCTGCTTTGTTCAACAAAGACAGTTTTGCGCTCATGAAAAAGGAAAGAAAACTCACGGTGGATGACGCCAGAAAAAAAGAGCATGACTAAAATTTCTGATGGGAACTTTGCTTTTAGGTTTCAGGAGAATGGAAAACCCTTTACGTCGCATCCAGTAACATCGAGAAGATCAGTGAGAACGGACCGTTCAGGGCTTTTGTCCGTAGACTTGATTTTGACAGTGAGGGTGACACAATCGCCTTCACATTTTTGGTCAAGTAAGTAAAAATAACACAGAACAAACACACATATAAGTGCTCGACCCTGAGAGAGGGTCTGTCTGACTTCCACGTTTGTGTTGAAATATCTGGATTATGTTCAAGAGCATGGCTGTCTGAGTTGTGTGCTTAGAAGGGTCTTTGGAGGGGTCATGTTAGTTCCAGTACCACCCTCTAGGGAATGCCCTGGAGCATTTGCTTGGAGCGCAAAGAGTCACAGAAGGTCCACTGGAATCATCTCATTAAAGAAAAGAGGACAAAAGCAGCCACGAGTGCATAGATTCCTCAAACCCTACAGTTCCTTCCACTAGCCTGAATCTTTCACGGAGAATTTGTAAAGGGTGGTTCACATTTAGGGGAACTGTAATCCTCAAGAGTATGAGTAGGTGGGTAACACAAAATGATCTCTACCCTGAAGAACTTATTCATAGCAATTTTTAACCCTTACTAAATTCATTAAAGCCTTCGTTGTTTCAAAGCTTATTTATGGAAAGCTCACCATAGTGCAGGCATTTTATTAAGAACTCTGATGACTTATTTCACTTAGCATAATACCCTCTAGATCCATCCATGTTGTTAAATGGCAAGGTTTCATTCTTTCTCATGATTGCCTAATATTCCACTGCCTATATACCCCACATCTTCTTTATCCATTGATCTACAGGTGGACACCTGGGTTATCTCCATGTCTTGGCTATAGTAAATAATGCTGCCATGAACAAACGGGCGCATATATCTTTTCAAATTAGTGTTTTTGTTTTCTTAGGATGAATACCCAGAAGTGCAATTGCTGGATTATTTGGTATTTATTTCTTCAATTTTTTAAAAAAGCTCCATACTGTTTTCCATAGTGGCCGTACCAATTTACATTCCCACCAAGAGCGTACGGGGGTTCCCTTTTCTCTACGTCCTCACGGACACTTGCTATTTGTTTTCTTTTTGGTAAGACGTATTCTGACAGGTGTGAGAATCTGGTTTTGATTTCCATTTGGTTTACCATGAGCGACAATAAGCATCTTTTTATGGGCCTGTTGGCCATCTGTATGCCTTCTTTGGAAAAGTGTCTATTCAGGTCCTCTGTCCATTTTTTAATGATTGTTTTCTTTTTTTCTATATGGATTTCTATGAGTGCCTTATGGTTTTGGTTTGCATTCACTTGATGATTAGTGATGTTGAGCATCTTTTCCTGTGTCTGTTGGCCATCTGTATGGCTTCTTTGGAAAAATATCTATTCAGACCCTCTGCCCATTTTCTAATTGAATTGTTTGCTTTTTGGTACTGAGTTGCATAAGTTCTTTATATACTTTGGATATTAACCCCTTAAGGAATATAACATTTGCAAATGTCTTCTCCCATTGAGTAGGTAGCCTCTTTATTTTGTTGATGCTTTCCTTCACTTCACAAAAGCTTTCTAGTTTGATGTAGTCTCATTTATTTTTTCCTTCATTGCCCTTGTTTGAAGAGACATATCCAAAATGTTTTGCTCAGATTGATGTCAAAGAGCTTTACTACGTGTGTTTTCTTCTAGGAGTTTTATGGTTTCAGGCTTTACATTGGAGCCTTCAATCCATTTTGAGTTTGTTTTTATATATGGTTAAGAAGTGGTTCACAATCATTAGTCGCTCCAACATTCTAATGTGTTTATTCTAATGTGTTTACTTAGTTCCTTTTTTTATGTATTCTTAAAATTAGGCACATTTTATATAAACATATGTATTACTACATTCTTATAAACATTCTTAATTTAAAAAAAAGAACTTGAATAAGAGAAGATGAAGAAACTTTTTTTGTTGGAGGGTCTTCATTGGTCAAAATAGAGTTAGGTATATTGATTTTAAACTAATAACAATACTGTGTGTGACATTCCATAACAATGGTATAAATAATTTTAGAATTTACTAGAGGATATTTATAAATTACTAGAGGATATTAAGTTAAGTGATAAAAGGTGGAAAGAGGGCATTTTCTTCAAACAATGAAAAATGATGGCAGTGAAAGAATCTAAAAAGTTACACAAGAAACATGATATATATAAGATGCTTTTGAAGGTGGAATGGGCTTCTCAGACAAAGAAGTAGGAAAGGGAGAAATATTGGTATAATCAGAGACACCCAGTTATTTAACAAAATGTGCTCAGGAAATAATGAATAGGGACAGAACACTACACAAAAAACATATGGAGGTAATTATAGAAGTTGAGATTTAGAAAGAAACTTAGAGTGAGTTCTGAGGGATGTTAAATGTCAAAGTATTAGTTTTTAACTTTCTCCACTAGAAATGGGTATGTACTGAAGTACGCAGAAGCAGTCAAAGTCTCCTTTCTGATTATGCTTCAGGTATGAACACGTGAAATACGGAAGAAACAAGGTTTTGATTCTCAAATTTCATTCTGAAATTTCAAATTAACCATATAAATCCATGGAAATGCCCTTAAGCCAAATGAGAATACTTTTGGAATTATAGATCAATCTCTCTCTCTCTCTCTCTCTCTCACAGACATACAAAGACACACACACACACACACACACACTTGAAATTACTGCTAAATTAGTAACACCTGTAATCACATATGTTGATGATATTGCCCAGAAAAACAGTTATTTCCACACTAACATTTAAGTTTAAGCAGAAGAATCCTAGGATAAAAACACGAAGCAGGAGAAATTATTGAATCAATGAAATGTAGGGTATCTAAGAGCATCATTTCGTGCTAAGAGATCTGTTGCCCATAAGATTAAAACATGTATTTATGTTGTACGTGGAAAGTCAAATGTTGATATTTATTTTTTGCAGTCCTTCAAATCCAGAAATAGTCACATTGAGAAGTAAGCATAGCTTAACATGTCAAAAAAGTTTGGCAGTATAAAGTGAAATCGTGCGAGAAAGCAACTATAAGAGGAAAAGGAGATTTGAAGGAAACATTTCTATCCTTACAAATACATGAGCAAACTTACTAGCTGGAAGAAAGTTGTGAGAAAAGGGCCAAAATTAAAGAAAGAACATTAGGAATTTGGAAGAAATCGGAACTGAAGTGAAAGGGGATACAATTTTTCCTATGGAAAAAAAATTAAGCACAGACACAAAAAATAATTTGTTATAAGAAATTGAATGAACTCTATTTCCAAAGACCTAATTTCTAAAGATATAAGTGGGATTCAAGAATCTCTCTCTCTCTCCCTTCACTTACACACACTCATGCAAACACAGACACAGAGTTTGAAGATTAGAAACATTAAGAAAAAACTAAGAGGATCATGCTTGGATAGATTGCTTTATAAATATATATAATTGGTTATATATTATATATAATATATAACTACTTGTTTACATATAATCAAAATATCTTATCCCAGTAGATACACTTGTGAGTTTCCACCATTTTTTTAAGACTACAGGATTATCTTTTAGTTCGTCATATTAATAATTTTTGTGTCCTATGTTTAATTGACTTTACCTGTGGCCACTCTTTTTGAAATCGATCTTATTGAACTGTATTTCCACAGAATTATGTGCACACTTTTGAAGGGTGTAGTTAATGAGTTTTGACGTATGTATGAGCTTGTGTCACTACTGCCACAGTCAAGTACAGACGTTTTCCATCACCGCAGAAAGGTCTGTGTCTTTCCCCACCCGCCATTATGTGTCTACCATCTAGACATAGACAACAACTGATCTGCTTATTCTCGCCTGTTACAGAACACCACACACTGGAATTATACTTTACGCATCTTTTTACACTGTTTCTCTCACTCAGCATAACACTTTAGAAATTTATCCATGTGGCTGCATATACAAGTAGTCATCTTTTCCATTGCCAGTTTGGATATATGAAAACTGTACATTTTCTGGTTGTTAGACAATGTTGTTTCCATGTTGTGGTTATTTTGAATAACTTTGATGTGAATAGCTCTGTACTATCTTTGTGTTGACATGTATTTTCATTTTTCTTGGATAGGAGTGGAATTGCTGCATCATAGTATTTGTGCATATTTAATAATATTCAATAATTCATTCAATTTTAGTTGGGGTATTTCCCCTTAGAATATATGTGTTGAATACATACTCCATATATTCCAAATACACGTTCTTTGTCATGTAGATACACACAGAGACACACACAGAAATATAAAAGGACTTGATTATATATGAGACATATATACGTAATTATATATATCGTGTGTATATAATTTCCATACATTATATATGCTCATCATGTGTATTTCTGTGTTTGCTTTTGTGTGTCTGTGTGTGCAGTGTGCTTGTATACGTACATGTGACTTGGTATCTAATTTTCTTTAAAATATTTTCACATAAGAAGTTCTATTTCGATTAAATACCACTCATAATATTTTTCTCATATTTGTTGTGCTTTTTTGTCTATTACATTATCTAAGAGATCTTTGCCAGGGCTATGAGAAGCACTAAGGTCTGTCTTGATACCTATGCCCCTCAGTATTGAGAAAACATTTCAAGCAAGGGCTTGTATTTTCCCCACTTCTTCTCTAAAATTTTGCCTTTCTCCATGTTTTCCTGGCTTTAAACATGACCTGTTTTGTCTCGCAGCTGGTCTTTGGATCTGCCCCTCTGACTTTGTCTACGTGTTGACAAAGACATTCTAACCACCTAGAGTTCTTTGATCGTGGACAACATATGTCTTCTCTTTTGAAAGTCAGTGTTTATAGGCACTAGAATCATACCTGACACAGGGTCAGATGAGGTTGAAACAAAGTCCTAATTATAGATCAATTTTTTATTATTTTTATCAATCAACTTAAGATGTTTTCTTTTTAAGGGTCAACGGACAATGCACAATAATACATTCCGTGGCAACAAAAATAGAAGGAAATGTTTACATTAGTGATTGTAAGTATGAGTGTTTTACTGATAAAGTTATATTAGGGTTGAAACCTTGGCCTCAAAATCTTTTCAGAACTCCATATATCTGAATTCTAGTTCTACTAATAATTAGAGGTGTGACCAGGCAAAGTCCCTAAGTTTTCCAAGCACTTCATTTTGTCACGTGCAAAGTGTTAAGTCGTAGGATGTGGATGACTCCTTCCAATAGTGAGTGTTATTCAACGACTAACTGAGAGCATGTGCTGAGAACTTTTATCTCATAAGGTTCTCAGGTATATGAATGTGTTTCGAGATAATGTAAAAGGGTCTTAGGAATTAATGTCTAATGGGTGTATCTTGAGTTGAAATATCAATATCATTTTGCTTTATCAGAATATTTTTAAAACTAATCTTAAAACATCTTAATCCTTTCAAGGTACGGTGTGATTTACTTAAATCCCAAACAAGTCACAGTAATTTCAACACCAAGGACGTTTCTTCGTAAACACAGCTTCTGTTAGAAGCAAAGGAAATGTTGGTCAAGATTTATGTCTCTAAATTCTTTTTAATGATATCATGCAACATTCCCAATTCTAAATGGCCTAATGTTTAAATATTTGATTAAAATTTAAAAGTACATAAACCTGGGGTTTCAACCTTTGACTAACATAAGAAATGCACAGCGGCTATGCAATAAACACACAAATAAGTAAAATTTAAGCCTGACATTTTATCCTACACGTTCATGAATAACTCTCTTTTTATATTGCCAGTAGTTTTTTTGTAAATCATGTTTTCATTTTGCCTGTCCCTATATTATTTGTTCCTTTGTCTGAATCATCTCCGTTCTTGTAGTCATTTTTACATGGATTTGACACGGCAACTCAAGGAGGGAGAGAAGGGAAGTGACCTGGCCTTGTTGTGCAGGCCTCTGGGGAACGAGGCATTGCAATGTCCCCAGCTTCTGCTTGGTAGAAAATATTGTGTAACCGTAACAAGCACAATAGCAACAGTGGCCTTCACAGCAATGTGAGGCTCAGAAGATAGATTTATTTTCGTAGCCTCCATAACATGCATTACCTTTATAAACCTATTTAGCTAGACTTTCTGTAAAACCCTCCTTTGTAAATATATTGTTATAACATACTTGGTACTAAGAATCTGAAGAGATGCATAAAATGGGATTTAATTGTCCCGACGTAACCCGAGACTCAAGGACTTACAGTGGGCTTGGGCAAGATTTATCTATGAAACTTTGATGTACTTACAACTGCTACTTAGTCTTTGGTGTGGTAGACTAAGGATATTTCAGTGGGAAACTCAAATTGGTGAAGTTTTAAATCAAATCCTGGTGAGTGATTGAAATGAGGTGCTATGTTATGGTTAGAAGAGAGAATGAATGCTAGAGGGCTCATTGATAATGCAAAGTAGATCTGCACTCATTCTTTTCCCTATAAACATAAGGAGTGGATGGGCATCACTGAGAGATGGAGGTGCAGCCTCCAGGGGGGATCTGAATCAACTGTCTAGCTTGTCACCACCTGCTTATCCTCACAAGTACAATTGATTTCATTCCAAATTAAGTTATGTTACGTTTGTGACAGCTATACATTTGTTAAGTAATACACCTAGATCAAGGGGCAGAGGAAATTCAGTAATTTACATGAAGTGTTTAGAAGTTGCTTGGTGCAGGCACAGTAGGTACTCAGTACACAGTTACACACTGTTTTCAACGGTAAATTGATTTGAATCCTAAAGAGAAACCAATTCATTTCTTGGATAAGGGAAATGACAAAGGATTTTTAAACTTGAAATTGATAATATGCCATATAATAACAAGCTCATGTTGTTTAAAGAAAGGTTGGCTTCATTAGAACACGTATTTTAGAAATCACATCAGTAGACTAGAAGACAGGAAATGTTTAATTGTATGAAAAGGGGGCCATAAGGAAAATTCTTCCCTACTTTTGTTCCTGTCAAAATCCATTTTAACATTCACTGTACTGTTGGAGTGAAACAAAAATCAATATAGTAATCATTGTTACCAATAAGCTAAGTAGGCCATGATAAATCTAATCAACAATTAATTAATTACCTGAGGCTATACATATATATTTTCTCTCTCTCTCTCACAGATGCAGGTATAAATGGTTTCAAAATTCTCGATTTGTCAGAAAATGCCATCATAGGATATATTCTGAATGTGGATGAAGAAGGCCTGGTCACCAAAATAATTGCATTGCTTGGTATGTATTATATCCTGACCATATTCCCATTGTCATTGTCATAGAACATTTCGATTGTCAGCATTTTTATTCTGAAAATCAGTATGTATTGATAGCATTCATTAGTAATGATACAGGTCTAGGTCTGTGTGTTTATTGAGGAAGGACCCTGGAACGGAATTTACAAAGAAAGGTGAAAAGAAGAGCTTGTGGGGGGGGAAGTATCAGATCATCAGGCCTTTAAAAATAATTTTAATCTGTAAATTATAACAATTGAGTTTTTTGAGAAGTACTTACTTAACAGGTGAACTAATTTCAAGCCATGGTTATATTCAAATTGACCTCAATTCCTTCTTTTTATGACAGTTTTTCAAATACATTGTAAGCCTTGGACCTGAGCTTTCAGAATGAACCTTGATCATGTTTAGTCCTTCCATTGACCATGTTTAGTCCTTCCAATGCATTGTCCTCATGAAATTGAGAATTTCAACCCCAGAATAGTCACAGAGGGGAGCAGAGGGTGCACTTTAGCCTTGGGGATAATAGGTTTCTATTTGGAAAATATATGGGTAGACCGATGGTTTACTAAAAGAAAAAATTATCCTCCATTGCTACGTGCGGCAGGGCTGATGTTTCTCTGTAGGTGAGAATCGAGTTTCCAGGTTATTTGGGTCCAGCACAAGGTAAGAATGTCAGGTATGGGTTCCAAGAGGTTGTCAGAGAGGCTTCAGATGAGCTATTCTGGATCTTTGGGCCCAAAATTCATGGAGCTCCTGATGTGTCCCTGGAGTCCTGCTGATGTGGGAGAGTTGGGCTGGGATTCATTCCTCCATGGACCTGAGTCAGGCAGCTGACACTGTGACATGGTGAATATTAACTATGTGACACTCCGTTAAATTATTCCACACGAAGAACTGATTTGCACATTCATTTTTCTCATTCATGGATCCCGAAATTCCTGGGAATTCTAACAGGCAAATTTCTGGTTTATGCATGGTGATTTTCAGGCAAAGGAAATGATATCAATGAGGAAGATATTGAGAAGTTCAAGGAGTTGACTAGACAAAGGGGGATTCCAGAAGAAAACACTTTGAATATCATCAATATTGGTAATGTGAATTTATTTTCTTCCTGAATATATCATTCACCTGGTGTGTAAACATACTATCAGGAAACAAGTTGATTCATTTTAAATTTCCTTTTCCATGAATTATCTTCTATAAAATCTGTTATTTAAGAAAAAGAAAGTCTTAGAATACGGACAAATGGTATTGATCAGTGGCTCTCTTTCTCCTGTTCTTTTTTTTTTTCACCCTCAGATGACTGTCCTACAAATGACTAAAAACAAGGACCTGAACACTCCAAAACGTTGTAAGTAAGAATGATGTGTTAACAGCGCTGCTGTATCAAGTGATTCAATAAACACACATTGTGACTTCACATGGGCCATATTTATTCAGTAATTATTTTTGTCCCAATAACTTAAATTATGTCACTAGAGAACTTTATTCTGTTATATTAGGTTATTTTGCTTCTCCTGACCTCTATTAAATTGCAAACTGGTTGAGTGGATTGATGCTGAAGCAGTTTTGGTGACAAAGCATCATCATGCAAGAACCATGGAAATGTTACTCATTTAGAGAGAAGCAGGAATGGCCAGAGGTTGGTGGTGACCACTGGAAAATAGTTAGTTCTCCACTCGTTCCTGAGTGGTTGTCCATATACATGACTACTTCATGACAACTGGGCTCCATAGAACTCACCATTCCTACAATCACAATGTTGAATTTTATATCATCATAACTGCCACATTAGAGGCCTTCCAACAAGATTCCCTGAAACATGCATTTGGTTATTTTTACCTTCATAAGATGATTTCATTAAAGAATGATCTATAATTTCCTAAAATGTCATAGCCTCAGAAGATGACAATGAAATAGGCTAAAGCATGAGTAGTTTTTTTTTTTTCATCTGTTGGGAAGAGATGGGAAAAAAGCCCCCAAAATCATTAGCTTTCTGGGTGAATATAATGTCTTGAAGGCCCAGACCCTTGGGATTTAGAGGAGAGGAGTGTAACTCGGATCCCATAAATCATTCTTAGGTGTGCCATCCCTATGAACATGCATCATGTAATCATGAAACCCCTGGGATGTGTCCTACCCACAAAAAGTGCACCGTGTGTACATCCTGGAAAAATTCCAAGAGGATTCTCTGATACCATAGAGATGGAGAACATTAAGTTCTACGTGCAATTAGTCTCCTGGGTGATCTGAAAGCTCCCCTAACCTTTGACACTCTACTTCCTGAGGCTCACCCCTGGCATGCTGTCATACAGTCAACTCAACCTTGTCTTCTGTTTCCCTCACCTACAGAACCTGTGACTGGGGACCAGGCGCATCATCTTCTCTATGGAATCAAGACCAACAATCTGAAGAAAACATTCTTTGTTCCTGTTGAACATCATCTTTCTCTCTCTATAAACGTACTCTCCTTCCCATTTCATCTCTTCCAGTCACCAGTCACATCCTCTATGGTGTTACTGGATTTCTGAGTGTTTAAATAAATTGATTTAATATGCACACTAGACATGTTTGTGCAGAAAGTCACTTAATTTTAAAAATACACAAATATCCACTTTAAATACAGCTATACTGGAAGATGTGCCTTCAATAGGATTGATCTCCCATAAGAGACAATTCTGATTAGGATTAAATACAGAAGTCTCAGAGGTGTCAAGGTGAGAGGGACGAAGGGCATAAACCCACATGGGGAGGGGGAAAGCATTACGGATATTTTTATTGTCACGAGATGAGGCAGTCTAGTCAAAAAAATGTCCCTAGGAAGCTTCTTATCATCACAGGGAAAGGGACACATTTGCAACTCGCTGAGATTTACACAGAGATACTCTATGCCTTGTATCATAATTGAGGGGACATCAGTACTATGACATCTGCATCACCTGTGAAGTTGAGTTAAAAACTGGTATTTCTTTACAATGGGTCAGTAGTAATCAAAGATGGGGCAGCATCCAAGACATGGTCCAATCATAGAGTTAGTTATAAGGTCAGTGGAGTGCTTAGAGGATCAATACTACTGAGAGTTCAGTTAGGGAGCTGCAGCTGCAAACACAGTATGCAACATCTAAAGTGGTGTGCCATTCCATTAGGTTTCCAAAAGCAGAAGACACTAGGAGTTCTAAGGAATGGCCATTCCCACCGTAAGTGGCAGAGCATATTGATCAGCTATCCATGATACACAAGGTGTTTATCATCTAAGACATCTAGCATGCTGAATGGAGACCTTATTCCAAAGTTGGGGCCAAAGTCCAGAGATGTGGTCCATGCACTGGGAAAATAGAAGAAGAGCTAAGCAATATTTAACAGAACAAATAATGTTTTAGTTACTGGAACAGACGTGGCCTCCCAATGGACTACAGTTTGTGAATGTCAATGGCATCAATAATGAAGATTTTTATGGCTTTAGCTGGAAGTAATGGAGATGTCAAGGGCAATGATTGAATTCTCCCTCTGGCATAAAAGAGTTTATGCATTCCGAGGTCTGACTGTGGTCATCAGAGTGTCTGGAAATCCTGGATTGGGTGGGTGGATATACACATGGGCCACAGAATAGAAAGTGTAGGAGGTGAACATAACCTGAATATCCTAAGGAATGTTCAATGGTAAGAAGTGGCATAAAGACTTAAAACATTGTAAAATTTTATATGCATGTGTGTGTGCGTGTGTGTATGTGTGACCAATGTAAGAAAAGAGAGGTTATCACCACAAATCCTACTGAAATAAAGAGAATAGTATGAGAAAACTGTAAACAAAGGTATGTCAACAAATTTGACGCTTTTGATGAAATGGACACATTTCTTGAAAGATATGGTACCAAAATTGACACAAGATGAAACAGAACATTTCTACAGTCCTTTATCTATTAAAGAAATTGAATCTGCCCTCAGAGCATTCTCCATGAAGAAGTTGTAAGTCCAGAGGATTTCACC